GCTCAGGAAAATGGAGGCAAAGAAGTCGTTAAATAGGTTAGCTTTGTCATCTGGTGTGACGACCAGATTTCCTAGCATGTCTTGCAGGGGCCCCATGTTACGTGGAACCTTCTTTTTGCCCCTTCCCCTCCAGGACCTCAGTGCTTCCCCGACTATTCTCCTTAGCTCATTGAAGTCCGCCCACCTGAAATCTAGGGCTGCTGCCTTGCTGCAGGCCTTTGCCACCTTGCACTGGATGGTGAATTCCAGCAGGCAATGATCGCTGTCACCCAGGTGGTCGAGCACCCACAGCCCCCTCACCAGGTTGTTGCCGATGGCCAGCACCAGGTCCAACAATGCGTCTTTCCTGGTGGGGCTGTGCACCGCCTGGGTTAGATGGAGGTCCTGCATTTGGGCTAGGAACCTACGTGAGCAGTCAGACCTGACTGACTGCTCTTCCCAGCAGATGTCTGGAAAGTTCAGGTCACCCATGATGACCGCGTCCTTTGACCTAACTACCTCCATGAGCTGAGTTAAGAATTCCTGGTCTAGCTCTTCCCCTTGGTTGGGAGGTCTGTAGTAGGCCCCCATCTTTAAGTGTCTTTCCCCTCGACTGCCTTGTATTCTAACCCAGAGCACTTCAGAGTGCCCTGCCTCTGACTCTGTGCTACCTGGTGAAGATGTGTATTCCTCCTTAATGTAGAGCCCCACACCCCCACCTTTCCTCCCTGTCCTGTCCCTCCTGTACAGCTGATAGCCCTTGATATTTACCACCCAGTCATGTGTTGGGTCCCATCACGTTTCAGTGAGCCCCACTATGTCTGGGTTGGTGTCAGCTAGCAGGAGGGTAAATCACTTGTGACTAGACCTTCTCTCTGGCCTCACCACATGCAATCTCCTCTGTGGCCACTGAAAATGCTGCTGCAAGATGGGCATCTTGACTCACTGCTCCTATTAAGGAACAGCTTCACTTTGGGCATTTTTACACATGCATGCGTTGCAGCTCCAGGTGCTTTGAAAAGCGCCCAGCGCTGCAACACATGTAGTTGTAGAAGTGGCAAAATATGCATCAGTGTTGAGAAAATGGTGGTCGTGCACTTTTGAACTAAAACATCTCAGAGATGCTTTAGTTCAAAAGTGTACCACCGCCATTTTCTGCGCACGGACGTGCATTTCACTGCTTATACAACTGCATGCGGTGCAGGGCAGTTTGCCTCAGTTTGCATTCAGATTAATCAAGTCTGCTCTGAAGCAGTGGATCTCTGGCATGTTGCTGGAAAAAAAGTATGTGTATATGAACACTGCTCACAGTTGCCACTCCTCCCAGCACAGCAAACACAGATCTCCTATCTTTCCCTTCAGTCTCCTTCACAATTCAGCCCCACCATAAAATCTCTGTTCTTATATTGAAATACAGCCTGTTCTCACCCCTATCCAAACAGGTCAGCTGTGAACCCCTGCAGTCTCCTTTTGCTCCATCCCAGAAAGTTTATCACTCACAGAGGAACAAACCCCCTACCAAACTCTTTCCTTTCTCATCTCTCATTACAACTTACCTCTCATGTAAGCAGAACACAAGCACCTAAGAACAGCCAAAGAAGCGGCAAGTTCCAGTTCCTGCTCCTGATGGGCTTATTACAAACTATCCATACAGCACTAAAACAGCCTGTTACTGTTATCCAGTCTTCCCTAGGGCTGCCTGCTCATTGGTTCACCCATCTGTTACTGCAGGTTGCATTTTAAATTTAAAACAGCCTTGGGGCAGGGACTCTATTTTGAAACTGTATGGCCTGTACAAATTCAAAATAGGGTCCCGTGGTCCCTGCCCCAAGGCTCTTCTAAATTTAAAGTGCAACTTACAATAACAGATGGGTGAACCAATGAGCAGGCAGCCCTAGAGAAGACTGGATAACGGTAACAGGCTGTTTTAGTGCTGTATGGACAATTTGTCTAGCCAGTGCTATTGAAATATTAATAATAATAATACCTTTCACAACTGGTGTCCTCCTATCCACCCTGAGTACATGCAGCATCCTGCAGAATGCCTCGTTTCAATTACAGCTTACTTGCTAAACAGGCTTCCTCCCCTGGTCCTAGTAAAAGCTGCTTGGGCTGGAAGACAAAAGTGGCCAGCTCTGGAGAAGCAGTCAGGAATGGCACTTACTGGAATGATTCCAATCTGCATGAACAGGAAAGTCAGGTCCAGGGCTGTGATCAGGTAGGTGATTCGGATCACCTGTTGCCGTTGGGTCATGTTTTCTGGCTTATGCTTCTCCAAAGCCTCTTCCCTGAAATTTCTGTTTCTCTCTTCAGAAATAAGCTCCTTCATTCACGCTGCCCAGGGAATGACGTCTAACACACTGCTCAGGCTGAAATTTGACATGAAAGAGAATATTCAGCAAAAGTGCAAAAGTCATGTTTGTAGTCTAAGGTTTAACTGTGTGAGAGCTGCTGAGTCATTGTGCTGTGGTTTATTCCCCTTCCCCCATTCACTTGTGTGTTTTGTGTGATCCATTGTTTAGAGTATATCAACGATGACCATGTTATTGAATAAAGAATCCTTTTCTTCATTCCCGTTCTAGAGCTAACCATTGGATCAAGAGACATGTCAGTCCTTGAGATGAAGATAGGTTTGGGAATCCCAAAAGGGCTGTAACTGGATTTTGTACTAAAGTTTATACAGCATATTAGTCTCATCATCTGTACCTCAAGGCTAGGAACAGAAATTACACACAGACAAGCTTAAGTGATCAGAAACTAGCTCAAATCTGTAACATAACAAAAGTTCAGTGTGCTTAAACTACTTTCAAAATGGCCAAAACTGGTTTAAGATAAACCTGGTTGTATATAGTATCAGACTTTACTGATTTAGGTCAAACTGATTTATGGAACTTCTGTCTCAGAACAGCTCCTGATTCAAGTTAACTTACAGTCCCCCAGCCTCCTGGGTTGCTTTCTGTACTACTGTGCAGTATTAATAGGGTACTACTCAGTAGCATTGCTAAAAAAGTGTGCACCAGGGCTATTGCACAGTAACCCCGGTTCCTACACACTGATTTAGTACAGTACTTAATCATACAAGCACTAAACTTAATGCGCAGTAACTGTGGTGCATTAATGAATGCGTAGACGTGCCCATAGAGCTTTTAATTTCACCAATGCTGAAGTCAAACCACTGGTATTGCCCCATTTTAAGTTTGTCTTAAATATCACAACATTTCAAAATGGTATGTTTGTGGATTCCTTTTAGTTTCCTTCTTGATTTTGTACCTGCCAAGGGCTTGTGTCAAGCTTTTTCCTCTAATTCTGAAATTGCTTGTTGAAACTGCATCTTATAAACAAATGATAACACAGATTTGCAGCCAGCCACCTGATTCAGGTGCTGGGGCTCTGAAGTAAAACACCAAATCCTGAGAGATTTGTAACAGACTCGTGAAATTGGTACCTCAGCAAAATACACAACTGGACTTGCAATGTTGGCTCCATAGTGGCTTGGATCCTACTCCAGAATGCTTGACATCTGTCGGGAGGGAGAGTCTGAGGGCTGTGGGGCATGAACTATCTATTTGTTCTGTTGTTACTGTAGCAATATAAATTATGATTTAGAGAGGCTCCTTAATAAGAGACTGAAGGAGATAAAAGGATATTTGGAGATAGTCCCTCAGTTGGCAGCACCTAGTTAGTCAGAGAGACTGAAGGCCTGCAGAGGATCATATACTGCTCCACAATAAAACTTGTTAGTTCTTCTCATTCTTTTTATGCCTGCATTTATTGAATCTGGGGATCACTACAATTACCACAGTTGAACCCTGGTGCCTGACTGAGAAACTCTTGGTTGTTTGCAAAAAGCTTGAGGTTTCATGTTACACAAGGAGGTATTACCCTCCTCAGAGATTTCATTGCAAAAGCATATTTTGCAAACGGACTCCCAGTGTGAGAAGCTGAAAGCAATATAAAGCACTAACATGATTATCGACTGGTATTATAACAAGCTCTGCATTCAAGATGATCCAGAGCCCTACAAATCAGGGGGGCCACTCTTTGCTAACAAAGAGGGATGGGTTTACTTACAAACTGCCTTCATTTAGTGGAAGACCATTGGAAAACGTTCAGTTCATCTGAGCACAAAACAATAGATTCTCCTGCAGCTGGTGTTCCTGGAGTAGTACAGCACACCCAACTTCCTGCTTTACCCTGGGCAGGGAGAGTGTACAAATTATCAGCACTAATTATAAGAGCAAAACTCACAACAAAACTCTTGTTATACAAGTTCTGAGACAAGTAAGAGTTCAGGACAGACAAATGAAATACAAATTGTTTCCTGCTGCCAGGAAAAACTGCTGTCCTGCAATGGAAAAGTCTGCAGTGTTTGGATTGATCAGTAAATCTGAAACAAAACAGCTCCCTCAAAACAAACAAAGAATATGATGCTTGCATACACAGCACTCAACGCAGCCAGGGTCTGCTGCAGTTGTACCTCACACTGCCCTGCAACCAGAGTGCAAATGCACTTTCTTTATGTACAGCTTGGATTTACCTTTAAACCCATGCTTCTTGAATGTTTTCTGGACCATCATAGCTACAACATCACTCCAAAGCTGATAGCCCATGGTGCATACCAGGGAACTGAAAGAGGAGATGCCAGATTTTATGGCTAGTCTCTGAATCAATGTATCTGTGGGGCAGGACTCTGAAAAGCTGGTACTCTAAAGCTAGGCTGTATGGCCCAAGTTTTCAAAAAACTCTGCTAACCTTGCCAGGCCATGGCTCTACGTGGCATGTTCCTTTTTGAAGTTACAAAGCAAAAAGTACTGTACATTGCTGCTGGTCATTGGACACATCTACACATGCAATTAATGCCCAGAAAGCTTATTGCACAGTAAGCTTTCCCTGGAAGGGCATCTACACATGCTCCCATCATCCCAGGGAAGCAATTCAGTGCAGGACTACTCCAGCCCTGCTGTGCCCCACTACAGCAGCCAGGGGGAGTTCCAGGCTCCCTCGGGTGCTAGCCATGGGCTGGCAGTGGGCACCAGAGTCAGGGCCTGGTCTCTGGGGGATGGAGGAAGCTGTCCCGCTTCTGGAGCAGCCCATGCCTGATCTATGGATCAGGGCAAGGGGCTGGAAAAGAGTTCCTTCCCCTGTAGATCTTTCCCAGCCTCCTGCCCCAATTGGTCAGTGCAGCAGCTAGCAGTGAGCCCCTGGCTAGGGAGGGATTCCCTGCTCAGCCAGGGGCAGCCAGGTGCTGTCCCACCAGTGGGACAGCTTGCTGCTAGCTGCCCCACTGGTGGTACAACTCCCAGCCAGCCCCTGGCTCAGTGGGGAAGGAAGAGCTCCCCAGTCCCAGTGCAGCTCAGCTCCCCACTCCTGTGGTGAGTTGGGAATGCTGCAGCACCAGAACAGGGTTGGGGCAGAGAGAGACCCAGCCCTCACACTGACCAGCTCCTGGCTCCTGTGAGGGGAGATAAGCAGTGCCAGGACTGGGCCCCCTGCTGTTGTGGATGACCGGGAGCAAATTTACTCCCAGTCAGCATCTACACAAGCCCTATTGTGCAGTTAGCTGTAGTAACCTGTAACTATAAATAGTAGTAACCTGTAACTGTAAATACAGGTACTAAACTGTGACTAATTTACTGCTTGGTAGTTTATGAGCACAGTTATTTGGTGATGCTTTACTGAGCAGTAGATTAGTCTACTGCACAGTAAAGCATCTAATGTAGACACACCCAGTGTTGTTGAACCCTTCCTCCAGAAAGCAGCAGGCCTGTGTCATGTGGGATTCAGTCTTTTGAAACATTGCTTACTGGGACCCCCAAGAATGGACTGGGATCTTCCCTGACAATTCCCACGATCTGCACATAAGGCTGTTCATTATGAATCTGCCTGCTTTCCCCAATGCAAAGTCTCCAGTCCTAAGAGGATGATGCAGTGGGACCTGTGACTCTCAAAGGACATGAGACTTAATGCAGAACATCCCCACTGGCTTACCATGGAATGGGGAGCATCTTGTCAAGTTCTTTACAAACTGGCATAACCGCTTAGATGTAGAAAGGACCTTTAACTCATGGAGAGAATTACCCTAGTTACTCGAATTCAACGTGGGGAGAAAAGCCCCTTGTCTTAAATTTGAGTACAAGCTGGGCGGGGGATAGAGGGGGCAGGTGGCTGCTGCAGCTCTGACTCCAACCCCGAGCCCAGATTGTGGTCAGAGTCATCCATCTACCTCTTTTCTCTACCTGTCTACTCCCCACAGCTTCTGCCCTCTCACCCACTTAACTGTCAGGCACGGCTCTGGCTCTGGCTGCTACCCTGTTCCCAGACATGGAACACATGGAAACTCTGGCCCGTGCCCAACCACTCGAGGAAGGCACTGGCAGCCCCCAGTGGTTGATGCATAGTGGATGCACGGGGGTGCACATGCACCCCCTGAGAGCGCTGGTGCACCCCCCCGATGGCAGCACTTCTCACTTAGGCAATGGGTGGGGGGGCAGGCAAGAGTGCTGGTGCCCCCACTGCAAGCGCCGGCCAGGGAGTGGGAGCACCAGGTGAAGCACCACTGGCACTTCCAGGAGCACCGCTTGTGCTTCTGGTTTGGTTAGATTGTCCTCAGGGTAACTCTCCTCCATGGTCGCTGACTCAGGTGGCACCAGTCGCCCATGGGCAGCTCCACCCTCAGGATGCTTCTGTGTGGCCGGATCTCCCTTGTGCTCCATGCCTGGGAGGGAATGGAGCAGGAGCCAGAGGTGCACCTGACAGTAAGCAACAGGGGGCGGGAGAGGAGGAGAGGGCAGAGGCTGTGGGGAGCAGGCAGGGGATGTAAGTACCATGGGATGGGGCAGGCTACAGGGAGAAAAAGTGGTAGGGGGCAAGGGGATAGGGGACAACCTAACCCCCTAGCTGCCTGCCTCCTGCTGTACAGTGGTGGGAGAAACAAGTTTAAGACAACCTTCTGATAATTAGATTCTATGCATCGAAAAGTGTGTGTGTGTGTATATATACGTGTGTATATATATATGTATGTATGTACGTATATAAATAGAATCTAATTACTACAGATTTAATTGTCTTAAATTGAAATTGTCTTGGATTCAGATAAATACAGTACAAAGAAGATGCTCATATCCACAATCATATGCCTTCTTTATGGACAGAGACCTTAGCATCCTGCCAGTTGAACACATCCATTTAATTCTGGATAAAGTTCAAGAGTGACATACACGTAGTTGATGAGATGATACAGCTGCCAGGATTTTTATATTCAGGAATCTATCTAATTTTCACTTCCTTATTCTCTCTTGCACAGGCTATTCAAAATTAAGCTAGAATCAGATTCTACTTAAAACAAAACAGCTAGTTGTGGAGTGGAAGGTGGAGTTAACGTAGGGATGTGGTATTCAGAGACACAGAACTGGCAGAGTCTGGAGGATGGAGTTAAGCCTTCACTGAGGTTTAGCCTTCCTCTTTCTTTACCCACTATAGAAATTGTATTACAGCTGCACATAGAGTGGCAGATAAATATTCTGATTTTAATCTAGTTTGAGAGCCTGGATAAATCAATAAAAAGATTCCCAGTGACTTCCACAAGCTTTCAGTCAGAGCCTAAAGTCTTCTGTTATGTCAAAGAGCTTTTCTTCAGGCCTTGCAGGTATTTATGTTCTGCACCCTGCCTTTATGGGTGCAAAAACAGCACTGTTGGTACTGCACCCTTTACGCTCTGAGACACAGTCCTCCTTGGCACCTGACTCAGTCTAACTGAGGATAAGATATAACATTTCTGCCTCCCCCCTTTCCCAAAAAGAGCCTTGTTTTTATCAAAGCTGTTGAAAAATGGAAAAAGCTAAATTCTGTGGAAAACGTTGAAAAGAATATTTTGAAGCATTTCAAATGAATCCATTTTTTTATTTCCATGGATTTCCCTCCATAATCTTTTGATAAAAATATAGACTTTTGTATGCCAATGGCAGTTTTTGGAGAAATTAAAACTTCCTGTAACCCTTTTGCTTTCAAAA